CGATTTCCGGAGCACCTTTGAAAGGAGCGCATTTTGCGCTCTGTGCGTGAAACTACTTAATTTAAATGATGCATATCCTGTGAAAGAAAAGACGTATCGTTGGTCTCTCACGCACTTCCTCGATTTGTGAATTTCATGACCTGGAGATGCGACACTGTCTGCTAGGTGTCGTTATAGTAGTCACTGCAGTGAATTTAATTTTAACGTTCTTTCCCATATATTATAGCTCGTTTATCTACCTCAGAAAGATTAAAAACCATTAATCTGGCGCAATTCGAACTTCTGATCTTTCGAAACGAGTCCGATACTCTACCGAATGAGTTTCTCGCCATACAGTGAAGTTTATACACGTCGATTCGCTGCTGACTGGTTAACAGTCGTAAGTATAGAGCAGTGATTTTGGCAAGGTCTTTAACAGTAACATTTATTAATTTGCAAAAACTACTTTTAATTTTTTTGGCTGTATTCAGGTTCGTTGTTCGTTAATTTCGTAGTTGTTAATGCTGTGACTCTAGACGGCAGTAAATCGTTGGTGGTTCAGTGGTAAAGTGTTCGCCTGCTACGCGGGCGACCCGGGCTCTATTCCCGGTCAACGCGGTGTTTCGCGGTTGGTCAGGAGACTGTCGTCGAAGTGCCTGTTTCAAATTCAACGCGCTACTTGGTTATTCTCTTATTAGCTGTTAATTCATTTTAGAAGGGAGTTCACCCAACTGTGCTTTGGTACCATCATGTCAAAGTGTGAGAAATATGGCGGTGCTGTCTTCTGCGCTTTAGGGCTGCAGTTCGTCTTGACCCGCGTGATAGCTGACTATAATTCAGCACAATATTTCGCCGTATTTGAATAAGATTACATTGCTGTGAATCGTTCTAATCCCGGGTGGTTCCTAGGCTCTTCATCCTTCCGTCGGAGGTAAATAAATGGATACCAATGCAAAGCTACGGTCGATTTCGCTCTGTGGTAGTTGTCTAGATGTAGTTACTGACAAAGAAAGAATGCCATTCATCCTCTGTAAGGAGGATGGAGGCATGATATTCGAGCTCAGGCAACGTTGCTACTCGGTAATGTTATTACACAGAATGTCTCAGATGTTGAATAGCCGAACGAAATGAAAAACGTTAGTTTTTCGCTGTTCTAGATGGAGCACATTTACTTACCAGTCGATGCGTTTCGTTACCCGACGCCAGTAACACCTAATAATGATAACTGATGTCATAACGAAGCACCCCCCTCATGTGTTAAGTAAGTCTCTCGCATCTTCGTTCTACGCTTTGGTGTCCTAACAGTGCATCAAAAATAAGGATTTCATTATGCCTTTTTTCGGCAATTGATATCGCAGATGGCGTTCAGTTCTTCCGACTGGGTTGTAGTCAAACTGTCCTTTTAAGACAAAAATGCTTCGAAATTCATAACAAGTTCTCGACCCGTTTCTAGCTGCCTTAATAATAGGCTAATAGACACTTTCATGTTTCATGACAGGTCTTCACACTTCTGTTGTAGCTATTTTATCTTTTTTGCATTGTTTCCACATTTCTTCAGCCGTTAGCCGCTTATTGAACTTTCTTTTAGTTTTTCTAATTTTATCTTTTTTTGACAGTGTTTATACTTATCATTAGCTGTTAATTCTTGTCTTCTTCCCGCTTCTGTCATGTTAATTAGAACCAGTGGCCCATTTGATGCTTCATCAGCGAAACAGCTTGGCGTAAAGCATTTTCCAGTGCTTTATGTGCCGGTACCGGTTACTCGGCGCACATTCAGTATTATCGGATCAGAATCTATGTTGATGGCCGTATATCGGCGTCATACCCTGTGTAGAGGTTCTTACAAACACTGCGCGACCCAGATCCTCATATGTTGTCATCACTGAATCGCTGATCATACATTTTTGGGCTTGTCTAAGGTCCTTGTGGTTACCGTCGTGGCTATCGAAAGTCATTTTTTGTCGTCGTTTTATCTTGTGCCAATCGCATACTTGAATATTTGGACCTTCTGCTCATACTCCACAACGCAAAAAAGAGGTTTCGCCTTGAAGGATTTTTGCTCATCAGATTCTAAAAGTTAACTTTTGATCACTAACATCTTAGCCGCATCAATCTAAATAACGAAACTTCGACAGTGCTGATTGCGAACTAACTCAAGCGAGCATTTGTATATGATGATTGCGAATTATAGGGACTTTTAATTGTAGCGACGTATCTCGGCAACCAGCAGCGATTCAGATTACGAAAAAAATCCTCCACCACTGTTTGTGCAGGAATTGTATAACCTCGTTGTGGAGATTGGTTCAAAATCGTCGCATGTATTTGAAAGAGGTAATTTGGTCGAAGCTGTTACCAGCATTAAAAAGGAAGGTAAATGTTTTAAATATATTTCTGTAATTTTGCCAGTCATTTGTAAACTCTTCAAATGTTATCGATTTTTGTAACAATATTTCTAATCAGCAGCCATAGTTGTTGAGGGCAGTATCTCGCTTCCTTATTTTTAAGCGGAAAGCAGGTAACCGAACGATCAGAAAAGCGCTCTTCTTTGGTTTAAGTTACGTGGGTTTTCTCTCATTCATTGGAAATTTAATAAGCAAACAATTTTTGCCGTCCTTTCTTCTTAGGTTGATGCGGACGGTTGCACCCAATCCTTACATCTTCGTTTATGGTCATTTTTTTACCTGACCAAGCTTGTTCAATAGATGTTAGGAGTGTTGTCCATCCAGGGTATCACTTTTCATTTGCCGACCGACGATGGTCACTGCCCGCGCTTTACCATTCAGATTCTAAGGTTAGATTCTGGACAGTGGTCAGGACTACGGAAGATATTAAAAATCTAATAAATGAACAGGTTTATGCAAGTCTTTAATTGTTAAACGTTAACCAATCTATCAATCAATGAAACTAATCAATCAGTCAACTTCAGTGGGTGGAGCCATATTTTGGTCCGATATAAAATGAAAATTATAATTCATTGAGTTGACCTAATGAGCTAAAAAAGGTTGTGAAAAACTGCTTTAGATTTTTCACTCCAAAATAGAACAATGTTTTTAATATTAATGCTTAATAATGTTCTTTTAATATTTTTTTGAATAATGTCTTGAAACTTAGGGCAGTCTAAGAGTCTTGAAGGACAAGTCTGTACACCCTCTTACCGAGACGAAGACGTTCTTCGGCAATGGAGAGAGTACTTTGGAAAACTCCTTAACGGTGAGCAACCGCAGGACGACTGGCCTGTACAGTACCAGGGAAAGAATATGAGTATTTCTGTGCATG